AAAAAAGCCGGGAGAGAAACAAAAGACAAACGTGGCGTTTTTCACAAAAAACATTTTCTTAAAAACCTTTTATGTGACCCCCCCCCCGCCCTATGAGAATGATTAGCAGGGAGCTAACATAACATGCAATCCCCCAAAGCAGTACTGTTGGAGACTCTTGGTAAACCACAGTAAATTTACTGGGGTTAGAAAGTAGATCCATCAGTAACAAAACTATCTCCCTCCTTGCCTAATTGTGGAGTTTTTCCTGATATAAAGAGCTTTGGAGGAGATGCCTCCGTTGCAGATACACTGTCTTTGGCTGCACAATCTGGTTCACCAGATCAGCGAAACACCTATCAGATGTGTAAAATAAAAAGATAAATAAAAGCTATCCCTGTCTCCATTACTTTACAAATTCTAAATCACTAACGATACTTTAGGAGCATTCAGATTCATGACTGTGGTTTTTTGAAAAGAATCTCTTAAATTTGGGTTTCCTGGCTCTCTGGAAAAGGCTGTAATGCTGGGAAAGGTGGAAGGAAAGAGAAGAAGAGGACGACGCAGCAGCAAGGTGGACTGACCCAGTTACAGTGGCGATGAGTGCACCATTGGGAGACCTGAAAGACCAGGTTAGGGATAGATCGTCACGGAGAAAATGTGGTCACTAGGAGTTGAAAACAACTTGATAGCACATAATCAATCTATCAGTCAGTCTCCAAATCCATCTGAATCTGCACAATTCATTTCAGGATTCACTGAAATCCAAAGTAGACCCCTACTTGCTAACAACCCGTGTGGTCCAATGAGAATTGGCCCTCATTTAATTGGACAAATATGCTTGCAAAGGGCAAAATGTAGGCTGAATTAATTTAAAAGCCTAACTAATATTTATATTCTCTGGAAGCTTACTGATGCATTAGGAGACACACTGCACCAATCTGCTGTTGCTAAGTTACATTTTCCCAGAATCTCTGGGCAACAAAAGATATTGTTCAAAGATAAACAGCATTCTTCCTTCATAAAAGTATAACTTCCCTTCCTGCAGAAGCATGAAATGTGCATGGCAGGCTAGGCACTGGAAGGATGAACAATGTTTCTGGGAATAAAGTATCTGCCTCCACAAACAGATCAGTGCCTAAAATTTCTGTTTATAACCTAAGCCATGCATTTGAATAAGTGAAGTGAGGATAAGACTGCCCCGAGCCCTCCACAAAATAGTGAAGGTCAGCAACTACCATGTTCCTAAAACCCCAGAAAATAGCTGGTGCTGGGAATTACAACTTCTGCTTGCAGAGAAAGCTTTTGATCTTCAAAACTGAAGCTCATCAGTAGGCAGTCATTTCAAGAGGCAGTCATTTCAAGACATAAAAAGCAGCCTTGCAGTGTTTATATGCAGGCCCACTCTTTCCAACAGAAGTTACCTGGAGTTTACAGGGAAGCTCCAAGAAATATAACCTTGCTTTGTTCAGGGCCAGCAAATGCTGCTCAGATGCGTACCCCCATTTGAACACAAAAGTTGTATCTGGCCAGCGTGACTAGGATACAGTGCACAGCCTTCCTCAACCAAGGTAGTTTGGGCTCTAGCTGTCATCCTCCCTGATAATTAAACACAATGGAATCTAACACCTCTGCATGGCACTGGGTTCAGGAAAGCACTCTCATTATTGGAGCTATCTTCATTGGTCAAGACTTATCGGAAGCATTAGAGCATTTCACCTGACAGTGGTACAAAGGAAGTGAGCGTGTGCACAGTCCACTGTCTTTGTTTGGCAGTTAACTGACTGTTTCCATCTGGAAGTGAAACCTGAATCTTAACTTCTGTTCAAAGTACTACAAATATTTTCTTTGCTCCTGAGGTCTGGGGTTTTCCACTGACAGGCAACCATGGAGAAACACTTTCCTTCTTACCAATAATAAACCTCTCTCCCGTGTACATAAGAGATCATCATAGGATTATAAGTTTATTTAACTTCATGTCCTTGTTTTATGCTAGGTTTAGAGAGCCTGAGGTCAGCCACATGACAGAAGAAACCCACTGTTTTTCACTGTGTGATGATAAGGTGAGAGAGAAGGAGGTTCTGCACATGTGACTTAGCCTTAAGCACCTGGAGCACCACATGTTTCAACTTATAAGAGCGTTTCTTAGCTAAGGTGGCTGATCTTTCATTTGTACTTTATCCAAGGAAAACCACTTGTGGAGTGGTAATATAAAAAGAGCAAGGCTTCATTTGTGGATCTGACCAACTAGAAAATTTATATTTGCACAGTTCTGCCTAGCTTTCATGGTCAGCCAAAATTCAGTTGTCAAGATTTCTCTTTTCTTCATTATTCAGTAAGGATAACTGCTGGTTAAGACTGCCTTTACTGCAGTATTAGTCTGGTCATCCACAACACCTCCTGGGAGAAATGTTAAATAATCCATTCTTCAGTTCCAAACTTTTTGAGATTGGAGAGAAGACACAATGGTGCTCAAAGGTTGCTGGGGTGCTCAGAATGCCTCTGTGGTACACTGTCAAAGGAATCAGCCACAATGAATTCTCCACAGCTAAAGGGACAATATGACATACATAAATATCCATCACATTCCCTTTTAAGATAAGTAATATTATGCAGAGTACAGGAAAAGGATAAGAAATAATAAGAGAAAGAAAGAAAGAAAGAAAGAAAGAAAGAAAGAAAGAAAGAAAGAAAGAAAGAAAGAAAGAAAGAAAGAAAGAAAGAAAGAAAGTTTGACCAATCAGCATTATTCATTGTAACTCTCCATACCTTTTCATCGCTCCAAACAGTCCTTGTTACTACCACATCCATATATCACTTCAAGGACTGCCTTTTGTCCTTCAAATTTGTCACCTTTGTATCATCTCCATCTGACCACAACTTTCTCCATTTCCCCTCTTCTCAACCCACTTCATTTCCTTCATGTATCAGTCCAGTCCTTGTTCATTCTCTCTGTATGACCAACCCACTTCAATGTACAGTACCTCTTTTATACATTGGTAAGTCATTTTATATTTAGTCCATATAAAGTGCCCATTCATCTTGAATTTTCTTCATGGTTTACCACAGACACTTCCCGTGGCATTCAGTTTACTTTTATATTTCTCTTGACATACCCAACTCTTCTTTTTGAGTAACAAGTTGGGCAAAATCATGCACTTATACACAGACATTTTCCTTTGACAATAATAATTTCTCAGAACAGACTACATATTATCCACTACTTTTCTACTACCATTTGCACATCTTAACATTTCTGCATCAATTTTTCCCTCTTTAATAAACCATCTGCCACAGTACACAAATTTATCTTTCTATTCCATTTAGGTATAAGTTGCAATCATTCACCCAATTTTTCTTGTCAAACACAAGTACCTTTGCCTTTGATTTATTAATTTTCAGATCCATCTTTCTTTTTGCATCATACAATCTAATACTCATTGCAAATCCTTCAAGTTTTCAACCAGCAGAATGGTGTTACCTTCATATAAAAATGTATGTACAGTCATGTCCCTAACCAAAACATCTGTAATATCACCAAAGCACCCTTGATATGCTTATCCATAAATCCCTTAAATGATTAAGGGGACATACCCTGCTCAGTATTGAAGCTAAACATTCTGTTTATCCTCATCCATAGTTTAGTTCCATCATATTCTGCTCTTATCACATTCTGGAACTAACCTGCAATGCTATATTAACACAAAATATTCTATACTTTCAGCCTATTAATCGTATCATATATTTTACAAATTGCCTTGAGTTGTGAAGAGTAGGGCAGTATAGAAATACGCATAAGTATACATAAGTAAAAAAGTAAATAATAAATCATACCCTGGTCTAATCAACAAATGTATAATAAACTTTCTCAAATTCATGCATTTCTCATTCAGTAGCAATCACTGATCTATTCTATTGCTGTACAAAACATTCTGGAGCCCCATGCAACCGTAGGATGCATCCCTGTATCTGTACATTCAACATACAGCAGAACACTAGAGTTCTCATCATTCTTGCCACAGGACAGTGAAGATGTAAGAAAAGCCATGCTAGACCACAGAAAAGGCGTCCAGCATTCTTTTCCCACAATGGCCCAGGAGATACCAGTGGGGACTCCTCAGGAGGAACACAAAATCAGTGTCATCCCATCATTCATATGAGATGTGAAGAATCTGTAGCCCTCTAGATATTGATGGGCAACAACTCCCAGTAATTAGAAATAATAGCAGGGGCTACAGGATCAGTAACATGGGGGAGGTGAGGGAACTATATGTTAGTATATGGCCATTAGAATAGTAGCCATAGCCTTATTGTTGATAAAGTATGTCATGGCAAAGGTGGCAAATCAAATCCCAAAGGATTGTAAGGAATAAAACCAGCATCTTAAACTGTGGCCCAAAAAGAGCAAGATACTTTCAGAAGTCCTAAGACTTGCTATAGTCTGAATCCTAATGGCAAACCCTAAGTAGATTATAATACACTCATTCACTCTAGCTTTTCCATAGGAAGAGCTGCTAAACTACTCACCCCTAGTAAAAATGTGCTTCTTTCCAAGAATAACATAGGAATCAACTAAAGTGAGTATTTGATCATTAATGAAGAGCATGATTCCATTTCTAACAAGCAAATCACACTAATGGATTTCCCCATTAATACCTCCAACCTTCTTAGGATCAAGCTTAAATTTATTGTTGTTAATTTTGTCTATGCAATGTATTTTCATTCTTCTTTTCAGGAAAACCTCAGAGATAGCAGTGAACCAAAATTGAAACTGTTTACTTAAAACAACATGATTAAAACAAAGGCAAAAGGAGGCCAGTAATAAAACCTAATTCAGCTTTTCATACCTTCAAACCTACTCAGGAAATCTACAACACTGGTGTTTTCTACACATTCCTTTCCAAATCCCTTGATGCTCACTACCCATGCTATCATTTAATAGGACACCACTAAAAATATTGTGATATCCCCAGACAGGGATTGAGTAGTATTCTCTTAGAACAAACTTCTTATTCTAGGAGAACCTTCTTAGTTCCTAAAGCTGATAGTGGCTCAAAAAGATACTGATGTTGGGTTTATTTTAAAAAATGTCAAAACAACATTGGCACCCTGATTATCTGCCTCCCAGCTGTTTCAGCATGCTAATTGGATTAGAATCCAGAGACTGAAACTGACCCATATTTCTAGTATCACCAAAAGTACTTGGAGTTTTCCTTTGTCCTAAATGTAACCATCACAGTTTCTACTTCAAAAATGGGAAAAGGGGAATTGGAGACTGGACTGGTCCAAGATGAGCTTCTTTAACCAAAGAAAATCAATATAGCTTCCTTTCAAGGACATTAGCAAGTCCTTCCTTGAAAGAAACTTCACATCTTTGATTGGCCTATTCCAACTTAATTAGTTGTGCGCTATTAATCATAAAGTGCAAGAGGCAATCGCAGATGAATAGGTAGGCAGGTTGTCCATATCCTTAAAGAACAGTGAGCTTTATTTGAGGAACATTGGTGAAAGGAAGCCAATGCCATTTCTGACATGGCCGATTTAACATCTAATAGATTGATTCAGAGGGTCCACAGGGAAGCTTAAAAAAGTCAGTATGGCAGACATGACCACACAACCAAAGCCTCTGGTTGTGCTTGCCATCTTAATTTTTTGAGCTGCCATGGATGGCCTTGAATTGACTGGCCCTAAAAAGTAATTTTCAAATAGATCACATATTGGTGAAATGGTGCTTTGTCCTACTTATTGTGGGCCCACATTATAAGCATCCCATTATTTTGTTTTATTTTTAAGATTTTTTTTATCCTGCCTTTATTATTTTTATAAATAACTCAAGGCAGCAAACATACCTAGTACTCCTTCCTCCTCCTATTTGCCCCACAACCACAATCCTGTGAGCTGAGTTGGGCTGAGAGAGAGACTGGCCCAAAGTCACCCAGCCGGCTTTCATGCCTAAGGCAGCACGAGAACTCATCATCTCCTGCATTCTAGCCTGGTGTCTTAACCACTAGACCAGACTGGCTCTCTTAATTTCTTTAATTTCTTGATTTCTTTAATTTCTTGATTTCTTAATCAGAAATCCCATTAACTAGTTTTTTTAAAACAGTATGCCCAATTACTCTTACAAATGCAGCATTGGTGAAAAAGAAATAGCCACGTTGAAGTGCAAGTCCCATAATCTCCAAACAGGGTAGTGACTGCAAATTGTATGTATTGTAATCCAATCCATCTGGATGGCCACTATAGTAGGGAAGGCTTATAAAGACCAGTTGGCATAACAACAACAACAACAACAACCACAGAAACAACTTATGTTATGTTTTGCTGACACTAATTTATCAATGTAACTTCCTCAAAAATGAAGGACAAGCTCAAATTATTTAGAAAATGCCATCTTGGAACGATACTGCCAATGAAGCAGTACTCCTGTGAATCGTACATTGGTGTAAGAAGAATGAGACATAAACGCTTATATCTGGTAAAAATAGATTGCTAGGATTGTTCATCTATACGTGCACTTGCATCAGGCTAGTGAGAACAAGTAGGCAGAAAGAGCACACACAGCTTTCATGTCCTGACTGATTTAATCACATTTGTATAGCTGCCCATCCCATCCCACATAGTGGCTCTAGGCAGCATACATATAATAATCTGAATGTACAAAGACCATTAAAACAGCCAATTTGAATTAAAACAATAAAAACAACATAAAAACAAAGAAAAAACAAAATGGTGACAAAATAGTCCAAGAGTGCTTTCCATTAACTGTCATACAGCCATCTAGCAGGTTCCACTCTATCATGGGATCTCCAAGCTTGTTGACAAAGCCACATTTTAAGGGCCTTCTGGAAGGCCAACCGGGTTGGGGCCAGCCTCATAGAGGTGTAGAGAGGGAATAAGTAGGAACTATAGGCCTTCTGATATACTCCAGTCAAAACATCTTCACTTTCCTACCTTACAAACTGAAAAAAGGGAACATGGATAGGACTGACTGCAAAGAACTAAGGTGCAAAAGAAATTCATTCTTCTTTTTCTACAAGCCCCAAACTTCTGTCTGGCTGTTGGATGACATGAGATGCAGTTTACTTCCATATTTTTCATCAGAAACAGAAAATACCATTAAACCTATCAGAAGTGTCCTTCCCACCATTGTTGAACTGCCTCATACATTACACCCAAATGCAACAGACATATACTTTGTTAAATTTTAGGCAGGATTTCATCCTCGGGAAGGAAGATTTTATTTTGATTTGTTTATAGAAATGAGGAGATTGACATTCTTACCACTTGATTGCTGTACCAGTATAAAGACGAAGCCTTCAGAACACACCAAAACTTTTTCCATTTGTTGCCAATAAAGCCTCCTTTTTCCTTTTTTTTATACAGCCAGCCCTGACAATCAGCCAGTCCGAGATCCTTACACGAGATCCTTCGGCGACTCATGGTGTAAAAACCTGTGAAATTAGAAGCAAGTGTCACTTTTTGCAAAACAAAATAAGCAGAATACTGTTTTTCCTTTTAAAGGTATCCCAGGATTTTCACAGTATGAATAGTTCACAAAGTTAAATTAGTGAAAGTAAAGCTTTTACAAAATCCCTCGGAATGAGAAATATATTTCCAGTGAAAATCAGCTACTAGTTATTACTCTTAGAGATATCTCCAGGAAGCATTAATATATGGCTAAAACATCCTTCAAAGCTAATTTGCCTCCAAATTATTTGTCACAGCAAATAAGCCATTTGTCTTGTTCCCCCCCCCCCACACACACACATATACACCATTATTGACATACCAAAGCAGTTTAGTTCAAATGAAGAGCATGTCATTGTTTTCCACTCTCAGCCAAAGCAGAAATCGAACAGAATAAGATACAGCAGCTGCCGCCACCACAAAGACCCTCTGTTTTGTATGAGCAAGATATCAGTGTAAACAAAAAGAGGAACAAAGCCATTCAGTACCTTGATTTTTCTTCCTTGTCTTCTGACGCAAAGGAATCTGCAAGGCACGCAGAAAGGAAAGAAAAGAGGAAATTTCAATTTGTGTTGTAACATTTGCAGAAAACAGAGGAGGAAGAAGAGATGGAGGTAGAGCTTGCCGTAGAACGCAATCGTTCAAACAGGCTCGCCACACAGCTAATGGGAAAGCCAGGAGCTGAAGCATAAAATGCTGTAATTAAAATTGATTCATGTGGAGCTCCTGGAGAAAAAGTACTGCACTCTTCTCTCTCTTTCGGTACAGCTTCCTGTTTCACACCTGCAGCAAGCTAGTCTGTGTGAGGGTAGCTAGATATGGGAACACAAACCAAAAGCAACTATCTGAAAATGAAGCTTGGCAGCTTTAGATTGGCCCCTGATATTCAAAGGGTGAAAACAAACATAATGAAAATGCATGTCTAAGACTCAATGGATGAAAACCTGTATACCCCACATGGCATAACTACCACTGATGTTTGCATCATTCAGCAGCCATCCCCATAGCAGAACTTTGCAAACAGCAAAGAATCAGGGGAAGGAGAGGCTCGACCTATATTTTTGTCAGTAGTTCATACCACAACATAGCCAAGTTAATGCTAGTAAAATCAGTGAGACTTAAATATTGAGGTTCAACCAGCAAACATCACACAGTGAGTTCTCCCTTGAGGCCTAGCAGTTAAACATATGAATCATCTCTAGTGGAAGTACTGTGGTAACAGTGAGTATGTTTTTGTAGTTCTTGAACTAGAATGATCTTTCACTTATCGGTGCGTCACACAGCTGGCCATTCACATATTTCATGGAAGTATGCAAGTCTGTAAGTTCTTTGTTCAATCCTTGCTATAAATGGTGCCCTGCTTCACTTTAGTATCTCAATTCACCACAGCAAGTTCACTTTGCCCTAGTTATGAGTCATTTTTTAAAAGGTCCACATCGGTATGTATTTTTTGCAAGTCATTTCTCCATAACATAATGCATTTTATATTGGCAATTTCCCTTAATATATGCACTGTGTGTTTTAACTTGGGAAAGAGTGGATATTGGCATTCTTTGTCTCTGGTTTGTTGTTGTTGTTGTTCAGTCGTTAAGTCGTGTCCGACTCTTTGTGACCCCATGAACCATATTGCGCCAGGCCTTCCTGTCCTTCACTGCCTCCCTGAGTTTGCTCAGTTTCATGCTCATTGCTTCAGTGATGCTATCTAACCATCTCATCCTCTGCCGTCCTCTTCTCCTTTTGCCTTCAGTCTTTCCCAGCATCAGGGTCTTTTCCAAAGAGTCCTCTCTTCGCATTAGGTGACCAAAGTATCTGAGCTTGAGCTTCATTATCAATCCTTCCAATGAGCAATCAGGGTTGATTTCCTTTAAGATTGACTGGTTTGACCTCCTAGCAGTCCAGGGGACTCTTAAGAGTCTTCTCCAGCACCACAGTTCAAAGGCATCAATTCTTCGGCGCTCAGCCTTCTTTATGGTCCAGCTCTCACAGCCATACATTATTACTCTGGTTAAGGTCCTGAAAATTCAGTAACATTGATAAAAATCCACAGGAACAAATTTATCATCAATCCTTACATAAAATAATACAGTGTAAGTAAAATGTGAGGAATGATCATGGAAAAAGTAAGGCAAAACTGTCTTTGCAAAGATAAGGGCTTCAGAAAAGATCATATAGTTGTAATTCAGTTGGGTTTGATATCCGGTGATCTTCCTATTAGAGCAGGAAAAGCAACCTTTAATCTTGGACTGTCTTCCAAGAATAATTTGCTTTCCTCCCCTGTTGTCCATTCTAAGTTTCCTCCCACATCATTCATTCATACCCAAACCACCATTTCCCATTCCTATGTGTGTGCTACAGCAGCTCTCACTTAGCTGTTGTGCCTGTAAATTCTGCTGAGTCCCCAGAGCTATTTGCCAGCTTTGTCTCTTTAGTCTGCAACTGCTGTTCCATATTACAACATGCATTCTTCTCTGAAGCACCAATCCACACAACCAAGCATCTTCACATGCTGAACCTGCCCTGTAAGTAACCTGTCACTGCAGCTTGCTAGAAATGTGGGCCTACTTGAAAGCTTAGTGGCAAATGCAGTCAGGAGTGCCTTTGACCAGCTCAGGGTGATGTGCCACTGTTCTTGATGAGGTGAGATCTGGCTATGGTGACACATGTCTTAGTTGCCTCTAGATTCAGTTATTGGAATGTGCTCTGCCTTGGGCTTCCTTTACACCTTTGGGAAATGAAATTGGTTCAGAACACAACAGAAAGGGTGGAAGTCAGGACCATATTACCTGATCCAGCAAGGCTGAAATGATTACTTTTTTTTTTTCTGGGCACAATTATTGATAATGAGATTTAAATCCCTAAAAGATGAGGACTGGGATAATTTCCTTATATATTATCCTGACCACAGCTTAAGATCTGATAGAGAGGCCATGCTTGGTGTCATAATTAGTGGGGAAAAGAGAAGGACCTTCTCACTGGTCACATCTAAATTACGGAGCTCCTGTCTCAGACACAAATGACACTCTCTCTGGTTATCTGATTTTGCTGCCCTGATTAAGCTCTCAAGTACTATAAATTTTACTTGAGTATTAAAACAGAAAGGCAATATCAACACCTTGCAGACAGCAATTAGCATGTTTCATAAGTAAGTTCAAAGTTCAGCTGCAGTAAGCAAGACAGAAGCATCAGTGGCTTTGAGACAGGTCTGCCTGAACTGAAGCCTAAGAAGAAGACTTTAGAATCCATGCAGGTAAGTATGTTAAACTTGAATGTATTGTTTTCACTAGCTGGACCCTAATGTCCACTTCTGAGACCTTTCTTCAGGGGTCCCTACCTAGGGAGGCAAGATGAGCGGCCACAAGGGAAGAACTTGTTCCGTAGTGATTCCTCCCCACACCACGCAGTCTGTGAACTGGCCTCCCAGAGACGCTTGTTGGACACCTTTCTGATATCAGCTGAAGATCTTTTTAATCTACAAGGCCTTTTAAGAAACCTTATTAAGCATATCAACTATTATTTTCCTGGTGGTTTTATTATTATTTCATCTAATATTGTTATTACTGTTGTTTTTGTTTTATATTGATTTGTTTTACTTTCCTTTCTTTCTTTTTTTTACAAACTTGTACATTATTCAGGGAACTGTAATCAACCAACCAACAAATAAATAAAACCTGAGCAGAAATACATAGACTTTCTGAAAGTGTAATCTTTCCTTAGAATCAAAGTGCTAGAATGGAGGCAGGAAAATTATTTCTCCTAGGATGCAGGTACAGGGCCAGTCCATGGCATTTCAAATGATGAATGGACTACAGTCAAAAAATTTGGGCAATCTTTTTGGCTTTGGGTGCACATGGGTGATCCATCTCATGGACAGGGCCAAAATGTTTCAATCCTTTGTTGTATTTTGTGGGGATTTTAAGGGGCAAAATGGGTGTCTTAAAAAATTTAAGCCACTCATTTTGCTCCTGAAAAGTGTCCCAAAAGAAGAAAAAACATTTGGGTTTTTCAGTGAATCTTAGGTGTCCATTTTGTCCCTTAACTTCTCCAAAACGTGGGGAGTTGGAAACACATATGGAGTGCTGGGGGTTGCATAAGGTCCATGAGCCACAGGTTACTCACTTGACTTTACTGAATGGGAGATTAGAAACTGATCTAAATCATGTTTAGAATGTTTCAGCTGTGGATTGATCTGTCCCCTACCTTAGGGAAATGTCACATCATCTCTTTCTCAAATACTATGTTGAAAGCACAACGCTGCCTCATCATCATCCTGCTGATGAGCAAACAACACACAGCACTGTCATAGAAGCAGCATGGATGTCAACAAGGACAAAAATCTGAAACATCATAACCATAAATTGTTATTTCACCCAGTTTTAGTTGCCCCATGCAAATATATTTGAATTTAGCCTGACCTATGTGAATTCTTTTTTAAAAACTATTTATAGAATATTGAGGTCATACGTTCAGTGATTTCTTAAAACGTACAATATAATTTAAAGTGAGCAATTGAACTTATTAACCTGGGGGAGATCATTGTTACAGAAATGTATAATATATCAGCAACTAAAAGTGAATTGGTGCCAAAAAAGTGCATCTGAGGCCAAAAACAAAACAAAACAAAACCCTACTTCATTGATGCCAAATGTAATCCCTTTGGAAGACTCCAAAGTTGGCTGCAATCCCTGAGAATATTGTTTTGCCCTTCTCATGGATAGAATAAAAAGTTGAACTCCCCCTGACAATTTCAATGCACAGAGCCTAATACGGAAGAAGGACTCTTTTAGACATACGCCTCGTCCATTGGCTTCAAAAGCATACAGATAGACAGCAAATGTAGCTCCTTCAGAAATAATGTAACATGGGTTCTAGATAGACCAGCTAAGACTTCAATATCAGAATTTTATGCTAGCTGAAAATTCCAGGTCACTTTCAACAAGTAGAATACATTTCAGTAATCCAACCTACTAGAATAATTATTACTGTAGCCAGACTATATGTAGTCTATAAATGATACAGCAGATGAACTGAACCAAAGTTAATAAAAGTTGACTGAACCTAATGACTTCTAGTGATAGATCAATGAGGACCATCAGAGGCATGCTGCTTTTTTACAGGGAGTATGACTCAATCCAAAGCAGGGACCACATCAACTTCTCAGATGTGTAAATCCCTAATCTTCACCTTGACATAATCCAACTTCAGACTACTGTCCCTCATTCATCCCATTATCAAGTCTATGGTTCAATATTTCCTTAGCCTCACCTGACTGTGACAAAGAAAAGTAAATCTGGGTATCACCTGCATACAAATAGCAGCTGACTTTATATATCCAACTGATCTTACCCAATACCTTCAAATAGACTGTTACATGAATCAGAAATGACAGAATGAAGTGGAAATTCAAGTCTTGTATGCTATGGATTTAAGCAGAATTCCCACAGTACTACTTTTTAAAATTGACCTTGCAGGTAATAGTGAAGCTGCTATGACACTGAGTCCAGACACTTTGAACCCAGATTAATATACACAGTGTTGATATATTTCATGTCCCTCTCCCTCTGTTTGGAGAGACAATCATAAAGGTAATGAAAGCCATGCTAGTGGGAAATTACTCATCTAAACTAAAAAAAAAAAGCCTAGGTTATGGTTTTCCTCCAGTTGGACCGAC